TGTTTTTGGTATTTTTAGAAAACCAGATTCAGTTGAGATCTTTTTCTGATTCAATGCAAAATCAGTTTCTGGTTTATTTATTTATTTAATTATATTAGATTTATATCTCTCCTTTCTTCCATGAATTCAAGGCAGTATATCTAGCTTTCTTTTAGCCAAATAAGCAGAATAAATTAAGCTTTCTTTTCTACTTCTCCAGACTATGTGATACCCTCCATTTTTATTGCACTTCAGGTTTTGTAATACACAGTTAAAATGATCAATAATTACAGACTCTATGAAGGGTAATCTAACACACTTGGAGAGTGTAAAGTGGTTTGCTCCTGTTGTATTTCTTTGGTGTTGAGACCTCTTGAAGAACAGTAATACAAACTAAGTATCTGTGTAAAGGAAGTACAAGAAGCAAGCTACGTTGTATTCTGATTAAAGAGGCCCTATCCTAGTGTCAGCTCCCCCTGTTAAAGCAATTGAACAAGTAGTTGAACTAGCTTTTTAGGCCAAGAGCTATTCAATGCCTTACCAGGAGCTGCACTGCCAAGAAGAAATAGGGCCAGAGAAAAAGTTGTAGTGAGTGTAACCAGAATAAAATATTAAATTTAAATTTAATTAAACTTTAATCAAAACCATTTAATGTGATTATTTTCTCATTATGCTATGTTTTTAAAAATATCCAAAACTGTGGACTCTCTGTGTAATCCCAACATGTATGTGGCAGTGCTTGGTGAACTTTAGCTGATCTCAAAAAGTTAAACAGGTTCAAAGTTGGATAGTACTTGAATGGGAGATCACCAGGACATTGTATGCATTCCTGGTGTAAAAGAAAGCTAACTCTGCTCCTGAATTTGTGATAGAGTTTACTTTTCATCTTAACCTGTCACTTTTTTTATTTTTATTGCTGGCACAGAAAAGAATGCTCTCGTAAAAGAGCTTAAATTTTCCAGAGCCACTGCTGTCTTCATAAAGCTGCTTGTATTATTGAGTGAATTGAACAAGCTGCTGCTGAAAGAGTTCTCGTAGATTTGCAAAAAGCTTAAATGGATGGAGCAATGTCTCTGAAATACTCAGAAACTGCAATATTTTTAAGAGGAAGTTGATATTGGCACATGAAGCACTTTTTTTTAACATGCCACAGTTTCTTCTTTAAAAGATTTTATGAGCAGCGTTCACACCTTAGTAACATGTAGGAGAGATTGAAGTTGTGGTTGGAATGCAGGTGCCTGCTTGCCTGTTTGCCTGTTTGCCTGCCTGCCTGCCTCCCTCCCTCCCTCCCTCTCTCTTCCTATCTATCTATCTATCTATCTATCTATCTATCTATCTATCTATCTATCTATCTATCTATCTATCTATCTATCTATCTATCTATCTATCTCCCCATTACCAATATTTCATTGAAATTTGTTTCTAGTTTATGTTAGTTATATCATTAGAATCAGAATTCTAGTTGTATGTAGCACAGTAAACATCTTTGAGTTTAGCTTTGTACTCATTTGTCCCCCAAGTTAGTAGCCCTGTTTTTGAAGTATCAAAAGATTCCAGTGTTTTCGTAGAATCGTTTTCCAGTTAGTTTTTGGGATGACATGATGTGTTGAACTTTGCCCATCGTTTCCATTTTGGACATGAGCTTGTTTCTTTTTTCCATCCAAAAAGTAAGCACTGCTGGGTGTGGTCACCAGCTTACTTAGGTTGAGTGATAGATAATAGGACAAGGGGGGAGTTGATTTCAGTCTTCTCCCCTCCCACTGTGTTTATCCTCTTTGCAGGCAAATGAGGCTAGACTTCCTTAACCCACTTAATTAACCAGGCAGTTCTGATCCATTCCTTTGGCACCATCTGTTCACTAAAGGATGCTGAGAGGAAGGTGAAATGGTACATGATTATATAATAATGGATGTCTTTGAATAAATGATGCTTAATTGGTCATTTGGGATAGTTTAGTCAAAACTTTTGTTAACACGCACACACACACACACACTTCAGAGATGCTTACAAATTTGTCAATGTTTCTGTATAAATACGACCTAAAATGTGATTTGTTCTCTACACAAGTCTTAAAGCAAGATAAAGAGAATTAAAAAAATGAGCAAAACATTATATCTATCCATTTTTTTATTGAGAAAAATGTGTGGCAAAAGTACATGAACTTTTAACACTACTGTATATGTAGGTGAGTTTGTGTGTGTATCTCTCTCTCTGTGCATGTATGTAACACTCATCAACCATGTGAACTAAACCAAATATTTATCACAGAATCATCTTACTAATCGTATTACAATAACTAGGACTCATTTTTAATAGCTTTTACAAATAATATTATTAAGGATTCAGCCAAGTGTGGTAAAATGTAGTTGCCATACCGTTGAAAAGTGCATTGATATATACATACAGAGGTAGTCCTCGACTTACAACAGTTCATTTAGTGACCATTCAAAGTTACGGTGGCACTGAAAAAAGGGACTTATGACTGTTATCACAGTTACAATCTTTGCAGCATCCCCATGATCATGTGATCAAAATTCAGATGCTTGGCAACTGGTTCGTACTTATGACTGATGCTGTGTGTCAGGGTCATGGGATCCCCTTTTGCGACTTAGGTTACTAATTCATCAACTGCAGTGATTCACTTAACAATTGTGGCAAGAAAGGTCATAAAATGGGGCAAAACTCACTTAACAAATGTCTTATTTAACAACATAAATTTTGGGCTCAGTTGTGGTTGTAAGTCAAGGACTACCTGTATAAGGAACTGTAGCAGCCGATTTCTTCACAGTAAAATACCTTAAACCTTGATCATTTCAGCAGGGGGCCATAGCCAGTCCTATCTCTATTATTGTTTTATGATAGAGGATATTTGAAAATTATTGGTCCCATATTTTTAGGTGTATATACTGTATTTACATAATGTAAAATATAAGTCCATGAATGGTACCTTTTTGTTGGATAAATAGATATCCAACTAAAAATATTAATCGTGTTGTGTCCTTTTTGTATATATCCTGTATGTGTACGTTCTGTATATGTAAGTAAGATTGTAGTGGTCAGTCACTTAAATATGAGCCAGCAGTGTGCTGCAGCTGCCAAAAAGGCCAACACAGTGCTAGGCTGCATTAACAGAGGGATAGAATCAAGATCACGCGAAGTATTAATACCACTTTACAATGCCTTGGTAAGGCCACACTTGGAATACTGCATCCAGTTTTGGTCACCATGATGTAAAAAAGATGTCAAGACTCTAGAAAGGGTACAGAGAAGAGCAACAAAGATGATTAGGGGACTGGAGACTAAAACATATAAAGAACGGTTGCTGGAATTGGGTATGTCTAGTTTAATGAAGAGAAGGATGAGGGGTGACATGATAGCAGTGTTCCAATATTTCAGGAGTTGCCACAAAGAAGAGGGAATCAAGCTATTCTCCAAAGCATTTGAAGGTAAGACAAGAAGCAACGGATGGAAACTAACCAGAGAGAAGCAACCTAGAACTAAGGAGAAACTTCCTGACAGTTAGAACAATTAATCAGTGGAACAATCTGCCTCCAGAAGCTGTGAATGGTCCAACACTGGAAGTTTTTAAGAAGAGACTGGACAGCCATTTGTCTGAAATGGTATAGGGTTTCTTGCTTGAGCAGGGGGTTGGACTAGATGACTTCAAGGTCCCTTCCAACTTTATTATTATTATATTATATCCAGTGACTTTGCTGAAAGGTAGAACAGGAAGATCTTCTGTGAAATCGTGTAAACCTTGAAGATATATAATCTCTTTCATTTAAAAAAAATAATTCTGAAGGGTATTTGAGTGTAATTTGGGACCAATTGTGCTTAGTTGAAGTTCATTTTGAAGATTTGGGTTTTATTTTCAGAGAATTAAGGAAACATTGAAAAGTCCCCTCAAGATACTTCTTACATCCCTGGTCTTGGATCTTGTTTGTGAAATTTTGGTCAAAAGGCTACTTATGTGCACAGGAGCTAGAGAAGTGGTAAAATGCACACAATGTTTGGGAAAAAAAAACCTTGCCTTTCAAAACTGGGATTGACAAACTCGAGTTATAAGTTAAAGCTAGTTTGTAAGAAATAATCACGAAAATATTGGAATGTGCAGAGATGGACAGACTAACTATGAGGCTGAAAGACAAAGAAGATACAGACTACTATAAAATTTGGAATTTATTTTATGCTTGGTTAGAGAAAAGAATGAAGGATTAGGAATTGAACATGTATTAGTTTAGCAGATTCCAGACAAGTTGTTGATGGAAAAATTAACATATGTTGATAGAAAAAATAATAATAAAAAAGATAGTTAAAAAAAAATAAAGCTAGTTCCTAAACTTGTTCAGAAACAGCGCACCCAGGAAAGAAGTGAACAGCCCTTTCTAGGGGCCTCCCATTTATTACTGACTCTCATTATTAGTTAATAGTTTTATTAGCCCTTGAGTACCTCTTTTAAACCATTCTAAGCAATTACGGTCAAGTGCTATGCTGTTGTTTGCTTATCTTGGGTTTTAAGATTGTTTGTATGTGTTTTTTCCTTGGGAAAACAAATGGGAATATAAATGTGCCAATACATTTTGGCAGCATATCTAAATTATTTAACTTGATACAAGAAATATATTTAGACCTTTAAATATTGGGATGAATTAGCATCATATAGGTCTTGGGAGTTGTTTTGCTGAATGCTCTACGTTACATAACAAAGTAACTAGCTTGTGATACCAAAGTTAGGTCAAAGTCTACTTAATTTTAAGCTGACAAAAGTTTAATAGAAAAACATTAGTCTTCTCATTTCTGTCACCCTGTGGTGGTAGGAAGAATGGCATCAGTTTTACTTAGCATATTTAATTCAGACTAGATTATAGACACTGATTTCTAGCAGAAATTAATCATTTTCATGTTAAAAACAAATATTTGTTCATCTAATAATTTTCTATTAATAGATACCGTTGAATTTCTTCAATGTATTCTAAGTAGCTACAGTGTTCATTTTCAGACTTTTTTTTAAATCTTTTCAGGTCTCTGGATGGCAGACTCTGAAACGAAATGCTGTTTTAAGAGGTATGCTTAGAGAAAATAATATTTTTCTTCAGTATGTAAAGAGATTTTTTTTCCTGATTGAATTCTACAACCTGCTTTAAATAAATATAAAAGTATCTCAAAGATGTTCTGATTTTTTTTTTCTGAAAAAAACTCAAAAACGTTTTGAGATCTAGTTAGAACTTAAAAAGTGTTTCTCTTTGGGGAATGCTTATTTTTGATATGTATATGTGTATGTATGTATATATATATGAAACATTGCTGCAGTTTCACCAAATACAGCTGTAATATTTCTAACGTGAACATCCCATTCTTTCCAGGCCAGATATAAGCTGATTTTATATTGGCTTCAAGTGCTACAGCTTGATCGCTATGTTGAAACTAAAAAGAAATAATTTCACTGATTTAATCATAATATTTGATGTGTGAAAGTGTTTCAGTCAAACTCCTAAAACCTATTTAAATGTAAATCACAGAAGAATGTTTGAATTTTCCCATATCACTTTTCCTGCTAATAGGAATTAGGGAATTCCTGTTAGTGGCAAATGCTCTTTTATGCTAATGACTTGACACGTCGCACAAAGTTTAGCAAGCAAGCTTTTTAGCAGTTACACTAATAATCGGAGGAACAATATTCAAAATAATGTAATCATTAACAAGAAATACTTGATAAATCTAGGGGGAAATTGAAATACTTAACAAGTCTATGGGGAAATTGCTTCATTTCCCCATCCAGATCAAGTGAAAAGTGCAGCTGCCTTCAGCTGAATGCAGACAGACCTCTGATAGGAACCTTCTGCAGAAACTGAAAAGGAAGTTCATCAAGCTACCAGTCGTACAGAGTGACTCATAAAGCAGTGGGGTATACAACCAACTCTGTGGGTGGGCATTCAGCTTGCAGAACCTTTCAAAATAAATGTATGTTCTTTCTTGTGGCTATAATTTGGGAATTAGTGAACCAACATATGATCTATCAGCTTTTAAAAATAGTATTTTGATAACAGCATTTACCCAAATGTGCAAGCCACAGATTTGTAAAATAATTGCTGCTGTCTCATTTTCATACGAGCATCATGTAAAATTTCAATCTTTACACGATTGGCGAAAAATGGAAAAGTACAGCAGAGCAGAGGTCTCCAACCTTTCTGGGAAGGAGAACAGCTTCAAAATTGCTCGGGCTAGTGGCGCATGTGAAAACAAGCTGCAGACACCCGTCCCATGCTAGCATTCCCGTTTGCACCCATGCACATGCGCAAACAGCACCCTGGGCGCTAGCGCAAGTGGGGGGGGGGAAATGTGCGTCCATGCATGTATGCACTGGCCAGCAATTTCTGTGGCCTACTGACCAAGAGCCCATGGCCTGATCCCGAGCCGTGGACCATAGGTTGGGGACCCCTGCAGTAGAGTCTTCCCCATGATTTAGAAATAAAAGAGGGAAGTTACTAGAATTTTATCCAGAAGCATGCAAATCAATAAAATATTGTAGGCATATGTTGTTTTTTAAATAACTTGTTTGGCTCAGTTGAGAAATTAGGCCAAATGAAGGTTTTAAAAATATATACTGTGTAAAAGGCAAAACTAAGGAAATAGTGAAAATGGTTGTGTTGACCGACGGCTAACTTTCCCTGAAAGTGAGCAGTGCAATTTTATACTGTCTTGTTTTTGGAACAACAACAACAGCAACAATTCCTGATAAATAAGCTGAAAAATAACTAAAAACTTCCCATTGTAAGGAAGAAAGAGTATCTCAGGACCAAACCAGGTACAACTGTGGGAGAGCTAAAGTTCAGTTTTCTTCTCCCCCTCCCCCCCCCGCTTCCATGCATGGTCTTGAATCCTGTATCTACAGTTTGATCAGGATAGGGTGTGACTGCTATTTGAAATGGGTATATAGCACCTATAATAGCAAGACAGTAGGTCTCTCAATTTAAGTCATGGGAACATGCATGGTGTTGTGATCACGTTCTGCTGCTCTGTTTCCTGTTGGCATTTGATTGACAGAATTCTGTTTCAATAGCTCTTTGGTATGAGCCAACTTAGTCTGCTTTGTGCACTTGTGTCATTACCGTTAATAACTTCATATAAAATATAAGTCCATACACTTGCATGCTTGTTTACAGTTTCAGATATAATGAACTTTCAAATGCAGTATTTTCTTGGTGCCATTTTTCATGAAGAATCACTTCCCACCTGCTCAACAGAAGACACCATTTTTCAAAGAAACAGTATTGGAGAGGGTTTAGTTTTTAAGATACCAAACAATTCGGCAACAGACTAGCGTGGAGATTGGAAATTATAAATTCTCTGACAGTTGAATTATTAAATATTATAGTCCTGGTTGCAGCTTGATTCCATTACGGTTTCTAGTCCAAACTTAATTCATGCCTTGCTTCTCCTAAAACAACTGAATTTTCTGTTTTCATAGATTAGCTGGGATTAAGTTATATTCTTTGAGGATTAGGTTAACTTGTTCAGTTTTTATCTCTGGGCTTTGGATATCCCATATCTATGGTACACTGTTTACTTATTGCAGATTTTTGAAAATATTTTTCATTGTACTTTGGATTAAGTAGATGGCTTGCATTTTTGTTTACTCCCTTACACAATGGATAATTAATTTGTAACATTAGCTGGTGAGGAAATGATAATGGTTAAATCTTGTTATTTGGCTGATCCTGGAGAAAAGAAGATAGAAATAGAAGACGCTTTTTTGTTAGCTATTATATTTATATTTTATCAGATATATTAAAGATCCTATGATTATCACATCACAATTTTGGGCCCTGAGTTATGCAGAATTCCTTGAGAATTTTAACATAAAAATGTTTTGCTTGAGGAGTGCACAATTTTATTTAAAATAAATTAGCATTTTGAAGAAGAGAAGAAGGGGGAATGAAAAAGGAAAGTAAAGCACTTGAAAATTTTGCATTTTTCTACTCAAACTTGGTTCTTGATACTGTTAGCTAAATCTTTAAATATGCATTTGATAAAAAAGAAGGGATGATGTAAATATATGTAGCACTTCCCCCAAAGGGGTGCTAACAATCGGGCCCTTCTATCCTTTTCCCCACGTGACCAGCCCAGCTGGCCCAGGCACACCAACCCACGTGGGAAAGAGTTATGGGCTTTAATTAAAATAATCAAATTCAAAAGCAATTACAGGTAACAATAAGCACCAGTGCAATACACATCAGTGTTAACACAACAAGCCTGTTAAAATAGTGGCCCTTAAAATAAAATCAAATTAAGCAACAACTACAGATAATAGCAACAAGCATCAGTGCAGTAGATACACAACAATGACACAACAAACACATTAAAATGGTGGGCCTTAAGATAAAATCAGATTAAACAGCACAATAGTTTAAAATGTTAAACCTTACGGTGAGCAATGTTGCTCAAACTAAAAATGTCTCAGCGCCTCTCAGGTGGCTCAGCAACGGTCAGCATAATGGTCCGAGCCTCAGTTCAGTTAAAACACCCAAATAGGTCTCAAAGACTGGCCAAATGGCTCCTCGTCAATTCTATTGCCTCTGTAGTCCAGTGAGAGACCTATGGAGTCCACCCCTCCAGCCAGGGGCAATGGCCTAGGCCAGGGGTAGGCAACCTTGGCTCTTTTATGACTCGTGGACTTCAACTCCCAGAATTCTTGAGCCAGGAATTCTGGGAGTTGAAGTCCACGAGTCATAAAAGAGCCAAAGTTGCCTACCCCTGGCCTAGGAGCAACACCAAACCAAGGATGCGACTTATTTATTTATTTATTTATGAGACTTATATATCGCTTTAAGTGCAAGCACTCTCTAAGCGGTGTACACCAGTAAGCAATGTATATATATATTTACATTGCCCCCAACAATCTGGGTCCTCATTTTACCTACCTCGGAAGGATGGAAGGCTGAGTCAACCTTGAGCCGGTGAGATTTGAACCGCTGACCTGCTGAACACAGTCAGCTAAAGTGGCCTGCAGTACTGCACTCTAACTGCTGCGCCACCTCTTCTTATCTAGAATCCTACCTTGGGATAAGATTGTCACCCCTTTCATGGCAGCTAGGATACACTCTCCAGGCTGAGATATAGCAGTCGCTCTTCCTTGGGGTGACAATTTCTCTCTCATTCCAAAGGAGTCCAGCCTCCTTCTCCGTAGTAGTATTCCTCTTTTTGATCCCTCGGTCCTTTTAAAACTTTTTTTTTCTCTAATCGCCTTTTGTGATGCTACCCCTCCCTTTCTCTCTCTGAGCTGCTGGAATCTGTGGCTTCCTCTCTCTCCCGCATTCTGATTTAACTCCCTCTGTTGGGGAATAAATTTCCCAAAAATCTCCTCCAGGATCCCTCCCTGTCCCAATTCTTGGGGTGAGGCTCCAACCAGCCAGTCAATTAGAAAGATAAGGATGGGGAGAACAGCTGCAAGTCTTTGTAGTGACTTATAAAATGAAAGAAGGGGGAAAAAAAATCTGCTAATTGAGCCGGCTACATATAATATGAAAAACATATAATAAACATATTGACTGTCTTAATTTCAATCAAATTATAAGGCTAAGTTACAACAATTGACAACTTTTCAGCCAAAATGTCTCAGCAATTTTTATTGAAAGCATCTTAGTTTGGTGACACCTGCCGTGCATAAATTCATTGCAGCAGATGGTGAAAATGCTTCCCTCCTGTCTTTATTATTTAGTACTCTATTTCGTTTCCTCTGGTGCGGTTTTTCCCAGTGAGAAAATAAAAGCAGATGTTTTTATGTTATATCTGATCGATGTGAAGGTTTTTCAAAAACATTTATATAGGAATTTCTAAATTACCTTTTCATGCAGAAGGGGTCCCAAGGTAACTAGCAACTTCAAATTTTAAAGCTATTTATAGATTTTAAAACAACAGGGAAATCGCAAGTCGGAAAGGAGATAGTTAAAATCATACGGAACAGTCTACTTAAAACTAAAGACGCAAAAAGTTCTGTAGTTAGTGTGCAGCCATCTGTCATTTATTTTTTAATTGACTATCAGTGAAGACTTTCCCAAATAATGTGGGAAAACTGAAAAAAACAAATACAAAAGTTTTTCCATGGCTTTCCTTGAAATTTTATACGCTACATATAGACAGTGCTTTTTTTCTAAAAAAAAAAAAAAGGTGTTGGAACTCACACACATCATACAACCCGCCTTGCCTACCCTACGAGGTTCCATCCCCAAAAGGTACCGGAACTCCGTTCTGGGCGTTCTGTGAGAAAAAAAGCCCTGCATATAGACATACAGTAATTTCTTTTTCAGAAACCAAGTTCTATTGAAATATTTTCTAAAAGCGAAGGAGCTATGCTTTATAACGTTCAAATATAATTCAGTGCTTATTTTGCACTTGTTTTCCAATTTGTGAAAACTACTTTATGATGCATATTTATCTATAGTTTAAAAGTGGGTAGGGGACTCCTAAATATATTTAAGCAGGCAACACTACTTTATTTTTCTAAAATGCTGTACATTTATCTTATATGTATATTCTTTTAAAAATTAATTATCTGAAAAGATATGTTGGCTAGACTTTGCTTTTTCTTATAATTACTAATATGTTTTAGAAAACTATAGTTTTTTTTAAGAGCTAAGCATTTTCCGGAATATAGATTACAGATAAAACAGATATATTCCCCTTACTTACTGTTCCTGAAAAGTAGGCTGATTAAAGTTTATACTATGAAATGCCATAAATTTTGCAATGCAAAGCCCAGAACAACAGTTTCTGCAGTCGTTAGCTTTATGATTATGCACTATTCTTAAACCAGGCTTATTTTTTTTTAAAAAATAAGGTTGTTTGGAGAAGAAAGCTGTTAGATTGTTTTCATCCCCCCCCCCCCCCGCATTCAAGGCTCATTATGAGGGTCAGATATTTTAAAAGCAGTAGACATACCTCAAATACCTGCCTCATTTTCTTACAGACACCAAAGATGCTGACAAGAAAAATTAAACTTTGGGACATCAATGCCCATATAACTTGCCGCCTTTGCAATGGTTATCTTATTGATGCTACCACTGTAACGGAATGCTTGCATACCTGTGAGTATGATAATTACTGTGTATTGTGAATTTAGATTTACTTCGATGTAAACATAATTATTTAGCTTTGATTTTTATTTGAATGGCTAATGTTTGTTAAGTTACCTCTTAATTTCAAATTGTTTATTCAGAAGTGAATCTTTTTTTTTAATTGCATTCCTGTGCTATTATTAAGAAATTCAGAGAGCTCTGAATTACACTAGTTGGCAGGATTAGATTTCCTTCCTTCCTTCCTTCCTTCCTTCCTTCCTTCCTTCCTTCCTTCCTTCCTTCCTTCCTTCCTTCCTTCCTTCCTTCCTTCCTTCCTTCCTTCCTTCCTTCCGAATAGCTTCCTCTCTCAAGTAAATTGTTTGTGCTTTTTCATGGAGTAAGAGCCTGCCTACTTCCGTATGAAATCTTCATTATTTTAAAAATTCCCACCCTTGCTTTGCCTAAAAAAGTGTCCACTCTCAGCCCTGTTCTGGTTTACCCTACTATAAATTTAGTGAACCAACCAGGTTGAAGAGGTTGTATTCTACCATATTATGGGGCAACCAATGTGAGCCAATTGTGCAGTTCTGTGAATACCTGAAAAGGTCTTCTCTGAATTAATTCCATAATATTGGGATGTTGTATAATTCCCTGAGAGGCAAGTGAATGAAAGCTGATTATGTAAGAAATGGGGACGAATAGTTCTGCTCTTGCAAAAGAAACTTAGGCACCGTATTATCTTTCTAGAGATAAGAACGTATCAGTAAAAATCCTCTGCTCTGAACTGTTAAGACCTCTTACTTATTCATCTAGGAGAGGATGTAAATATGGGGCATCATATATTTTCTGAACTTTTTTTACTTAATGTTCTGAACTTTTTTTTACTTAAAACAGTAGGTAATGAATCTTTCGGGTACATACCTACGAATGCTGAAATGGGAGCTTTTATTAAAGAGTGTGATGTAAAAATTGTGATGCTGTTTTATTGCAGGTCATATTACGTTTCTAACTGCTGCTGAGAAGGCATCATGTGTTTCCTTTCTCCCCTTTGAACTGAATGTGCAGATCTGTAGCTAATACAATGAAGAGAATTTTGCTGATAGTGCATGAAAAGAGATTAGAAATAACAGATAAATTGATTTAGTTAAAACAATGTTTGCCAGATTATATAAGTATTGGTATACTTATATAATTGGTAGACCCAGTTATGGCTTTGTTTAACAAGATGACAGATCTAATTTGGGTGCTAGGGTGTCTTACAAGACTGACAGGTCACAGGGTAGCTAATGAGAATTATGTAATGTGTAATTATGGTCAAAAAGCTGAGAGGCTTACAGTAAACTTCTTTAGCTCAGGTGGCTGCACTGCATTTAATCACCTACTATTCCTAAGTTCAAACCTTTCTTTACTTTTTCTAGTTTTTACTTTCCGTACTGGGGGCTTTATGAATATGGTGGCATATTAAAGACCCTCCTTTTCTATAAACCAAAAGAATGGATCAAATAAAATGAATCTCATCTTCCTAGACTTTATTGCAATTATTCAATGCTTCTAAAACCAAAAACTTTCTTCCAATGGCTTCTCTTCTGCCTCCTCGAGTGCACAACTAATTATTTAGAAAATTTATACGGCAGCCCAACTCGTTCATGGTGACTTCCAGATGACATACAGAAATAAAATCCCAATTAAAAAAACCCCAATGAATCCCTCCCCCCCTCCCCGGCAACAACTATCAACCCAACCACTTAATGGGCTCCATATCACCCTGGGGTTCCCCATGTGTGCTGGCAAAACCATGTCTTCAGGGCCTTTTGAAGGAGTGTTAAGGTGGGAGCCAGTCTTACTTCTGCAGGGATGATATTCCACAGGAGAAGCAACTGCAATGGAGAAGGGCCTCCTAGATGGGCCTTCTGAGGAGAGGGGAGCCAGAACATATCCTGCCTCCCGTCTCTGGTGGATTGGGTAGGTGTAACTGGGAAAAGATGGTCTTTCAAATAACCTGGCCCCCTATTGGGCTTTAAAGATGATAATCAGCATCTTGAATTGGACCTGGAAGCAAATCATCAGCCAATCTAGCTCCTGCAGGAGAGATGACACGTGTGCAAATCTAGAATAAATAATGTGGGTCAATACATTTTGAACCAGTTGAATTCAACATGTAACAGACAATAGCAAATGTTGCCTTTCTCGTGAAAAGGATGAAACAATTGACCATTTGATCAGTATCTGTAGCAAAATGTCACAAACTGTTTACAAGCAAGTTCATGATCAAGTTGCCAAAATTATACATTGGAAATTTTACCAGAGGTTTGGATTTGAATGTAGTAAAAACTACTGGAATCATCCAGTTAGGAAAATGAGCAGGTTAAGATCTTACGGGATGCTAAGATCCAAACAGGCAGGTATTTTGTTCATAACATGCGTTATATGATAGTTATTGAATAGAAGACAATCTGGTTCATTGATACCAGGTAATGCTAGGATTGAGGAAAAACAACTGGAAAAAATTACAAAATACCGAGACTTGCAGATTTAAGTTGAATGTTTATGGAAAAAGAAATCATTTCTTATATCAATTGAGATTGGAGCTCTCAAAGCAATACCTGGACAACTTCCTTGATATCTGAAAATATTGAATTTATTGAACTTGAACACCATATTTTAACAAAAAAAGCCTCTGCTTGGAACTGCATACATTCTTAGATGCTGTCTTAATAATTCTTAGGTCCTTGGTTAGGATTTGAATTCTTAACTTTCTCCCGATCTTAGACTAAACTAAACTAAATGTAGATTACCCGCATATAATAATGATAATAATGCTTTATATATTTGTTTGATTCCGGGTGATGTATAACATACATCACCCGGAATCAAACAAATATATAAAGCATTATATATTCAATAACTATCATATAAGGCATGTTATGAACAAAATATATACGTACATCAATATGGAAGCTATAATTAGAACGCAGCCAAATCAATTAGGACCTATGAAAAGAACTAGGAGCGTATGCAAAGGACGGCTCACCTATAAAGATACTCTCCAATAGAGCAGCATTAACCCTGACGATGTCAGAAGTCTCTGATGAAAGCTTGGTGATTGGTGATGGTATTAAACTTTTTCAGTTTATTATATTTCTGGTGCTCACGTTTTTATTGGTTATGAATTCACCCAAGAATCACACTTTTATTTTCACTACTATTATTGATACATGCATGCATACATACTCTCTGAGCTTGCTTTTTTTTTTTTCTTGCTAACATTTCATTACCCAAACTAGGTAACATCATCAGTGCTAACACTAGCACTGATGATGTTACCTAGTTTGGATAATGAAACATCTGCAAGAAAAAAAGCAAGCTCAGACAGCACCAAGGAGCCCTCATTTCAACCCTGAACTACAGATATTCTCCTTTATTGGTAATACATACATACATATGAATGAGCACCACACTATGCTTTGGATGCTTCTGGATTGAAAGGATTGGCCAGCTATAAACTGTTGTTCAGGGGATGACCAAATGTGTTAACAGCACACATTTTTCGGGGAAGCTCCAAAGGAGTAGGACTATGAAGTAGGAATAGGAAAAGGCTCCCTCACATGGCTGTGGCCCCAGGCTTGGACACAAAATCAGATCTTCAAGGTCTTCTGGAAGGCTAGTATATAAATGTGTAGATTTACCCACTTTTTTTTCCAAGTTTTCCTCTAAAGGGAATGTTTTTTTCCTCTGTTCTGTAAACACTACCACAAGTTTGCTCATTTATATCCTACAGTGTGTATCTTCATATATGAAAAGTAGATGGCACTGTTTAACTGCAGCTTTTAGTCTTTGGTATTGTCGCTTTTCAAGAGGTTACAGCGAAATGTTAATTGAATTATTACTGAGGAAGTTTCACTTTGCAACAGCCATCTCTAGCTTCAGAATAAGCTTGGTTGCAAGTATACTGATAGTTAACAACCACTTATGCCATGCTGTTGCATATATTTCAGGGTTTATTTTTAAGTAAGACTAAAGATCTTTCACTATAAATACTAAATAATACTGCTTTTTCTTAACAAAAAGTCTGCTTCAGAGTACAGTAACTATTTATTCTGTGTTGAAATGACCCTGCAATGTTTAAATTGATTACAATCTTACGTATCTCCAATAACAAGAACAAAGACATAGATTTTATATCCGAAACCTTTATATTGCATTTTTCAGATGCAAATTTGGGGTACACTAAATTTATACAGAAAGGAAAAATACTCCCTATAAAATGTTCATTAGACTACAAGCACTTTTTTTAAAGCAGGTTCTGTGTTCGTTAAAACTGGGCTGTGAATGCAACTGCTTTTTCTGCATTCACAACTATGAAATAGTGACATTGTTTAACTTTGCTTCCTGAAGTTATACAAGTTGAATTACGTCTGGAGTTTAAAATGTTATTCGCAGATAAACAAAAATGTTTTCTTGTAATCATTTTAACTGATACATTTTTTTTTTTTTTGGGTAAAACAGTTTGCAGGAGTTGCTTGGTAAAATATTTGGAAGAAAATAATACCTGTCCCACATGCAGGATAGTAATACACCAGAGTCACCCTCTCCAGTATATTGGGTACGTATGGGGTTAAAAAAAAATACATGCAGAAATCTGTTGGATGTACCTTTTTTGAACCATGAATTGGGAAAAGGGTGTGCTGTGCCCATGAGTGGATTTTGTCCATTGTGTTTCAGCAGAATGGAAATGGAAATGGTATAGGAACTCCCCCCCCACCTTTTTTTTCTTTCTTTCTTTAGTTTCCCTTTCATTTGTGCCCAAAGGAAGAGGATATTTTTCAGTTATCCTAGTGGTGTAAATATATAAAGGTTTCTTATAGGTATTTGTAGTAGCCATTTTAATTTCTAATTTTTTGTCTTGTCAGTCATGACAGAACAATGCAAGATATTGTTTACAAGCTTGTTCCAGGTCTTCAAGAAGGTAAGTCAACAGTAAACTGTTCGAAAGACATTTATATATATGAATAAATCCCCTCCGTAAGATGTTTGGGAGACACGGTTCAAACTGTCAAATGGTTACAGGAAGTGGTGCCATTTACCGTTGCTTTGCTTTTCCTCGCTTGCTTTGGCAAAGCAAGGATGGCCACATATTACAAGGGAGCCCACAGCAAAAGTTTTATTTTTTAAATGTGATGGCAGAATCCTCAAGATTGAAAAAAAAAATAATCACAGAAGCCTTTTCCAACCTGGATATCCACTAGGTATATTCCCACAGAATTCCCCAACCAGTATAGCTGGTATTGTTCTAAATTTCTTCATTCCTTGTCCCCATAGAGTCATAGTATCATATCATGGTTTACAAGAAATGAAGAGGAATAAAAAGGCAGCTATGCTCAACATTAATCAGTAAAAGGTTAAAGTATCTTCAGTAAATGGTTGTATCCCCACTTTAGTCATATAACTCAAAAAGATCCTTTTTGAGTCATATAATTCAAATAACATTTTAGTCATATGACTTAAAAAGGTCCTTTTCTAAAAAGTAGTAGAAGCAATTGCCAGAAACAGGTTTTAAAATTTTAACATTCCTGCCACTTCCCAGGGCATTTTTTAACTCTGAAGGAATATTGGCATCTCCCAAAGTTCTTCATACTTATAAACATAAAATGAATACAGAGGTAATTTGATAGTATAGAAGCAATTACGGTGTCCAGTTTTACATTTACTTATTATATTTTGTATCTATGATAGATGGACTATAAATACCATAACTAGGTTTTTTTTTTACTGAAAATTATAAAATAACAGTTGGGGATCATATTGTTGATAATTCCAATGTTACTTTGAGAGAAGACTAATGTAAGAAGTTAACTCCCAGTTGCTAGACTCTCTTCCCCAAAGTGTGGTTGGAGAATACACTTCTCTGATGTATGTAAATAGGAGGGGAAAATTCAAAAAGATGAATGCATAAGTCAATGTTATAAAACAAAAATTAGCTTGTTTTCTGGATTCTAATTTTTGCCAAATGTTACTGTACAAGTAGACAAGTGAGAGAACAGTATTGGGTAACACTTGAAAAGTAGTATTGCATTGTATGGGATGTTCTTAAAATCCTGAGATTTGTCCAGCTGTGTTATGAGTTGGCCACAAAAAAAGCATTTGAACGTTAGAGGGGGCTCTTGTTACATGTTCTAAACAAGGGAGAGGAATACATTGTTTGTTACATAGTTGATGAAGTCCATGTTTTTAGCTAAAGACACTATTTTAAAATGTTAAATAGCGGAAATGAAGAAGCAGAGGGAATTCTACCACAAATTGGGCATGGAAGTACCAGGTGACATCAAAGGGGAGACGTGCTCAGCCAAGCAGCATTTAGATTCTCACCGTAATGGTAAATAGAAATGCATGTGCTTGTTCTTTTCAGGATAATTACTGTGTTTGCCAAAGGAAATGGTTTGCTCTTTTGTTTAACTAGATTAGTTTCATATAGTACATTTATCACAACCTTGCTAAAGAAATATAAACTGTCAATTTCTTGCATAAATTAGTGCTTTGCTGTGAGTACTTGACTGAAAAGCTGAAAATTCACTAATTTTCTGATCGATGTATTTGCAACAAGATCTTCACAGCTGGATTTCTCTCCAAGATTTGGAATGGACCATTTAGTCCCAGAATTGTTGAACTGGCCCCATTATTTGTGCATATATAGCCTCTCTGTTTAGACTTATGGGTACCCATAAATGGTGGCTATCCTGTATCAGTTTGACCAAAGCATAGCACTCTTCCAAAATTCCATTTACTCCCACTAGAACGAAAAAGTTGAGAACTTCTGTTGTAGGACAGGGTTTAGCAACCATTTTTCATTTGCAGAAACCATTTCGCGATTTCACTCATCGTTATGAGCACTAAGAAATAGATAAACAATTGTATAAATGTAAACATTAAATTCCAAAATCTCATGCAGGAAGACGGCTCTTGCAAGATTTGCTAGTCTGCAAAGTTCTCTGTGTGGGACAAAGTAGTTTCGTTAAGAAATCACTCATGTAGATATTTATTTATTTTATTTATTTTATGAGACTTATATACCGCTTTAAGTGCAAGCACTCTCTAAGCGGTGTACACCAGTAAGCAATGTATATATATATTTACATTGCCCCCAACCATCTGGGGCCTCATTTTACCTACCTCGGAAGGATGGAAGGCTGAGTCAACCTTGAGCCGGTGAGATTTGAACAGCTGACCTGCTGAACACAGTCAGCTAAAGTAGCCTGCAGTACTGCACTCTAACTGCTACGCCACCTCGGCCGCCTTGTTTTTTTTTTTTTTTTGTAGCTTTGTGCAAGGTTAAAGGAGTAAAATGCTTCTTAAATTGCTAGAATAAATAATAAAATAAAAGTAAAAAATAACAACAAAATAAAGAAGGTCTTAAATTTTCCATCCCATTTACTCTGGGATTGAGGAAAGGGCTAGAAATGGAGTGTTGAGACTTTTGGCCAGTAGGTTGCCCTCTGCTGATCTAGGACATTAATCCTACTTTAAAGTCTTCACAGTCCTCTGCAAACTGGTTGTTATTGTCAATTAAACAGTTCCAAAGTAAGAAACTTGATGATCAAATAATCAACTCCTGTGAGCTTGCTGCATTTAATAACATTCCAAAAATGCTTGCCTTTTTATGTGCTAAGGCAGTTAGGTAAGTCTTATGGCAGCAGCTTCTTTTGAGGGCAGTTCCTAGGAAAGATCATGCTGCTAATTCTGTGGCAGATACAATAGTAAATGCTAGACTTGGCTGTGCTGGGAGACTGTTTATTGCCGCACCAGTGACAGAATTGTATTCATAACAGAGCATCGCATCACTACGGAAGATTCTGCCACTCTACAAGGATAAGGCACCCAGATTTGTTGGATGTGAGATATAAAAAATATATGAGATATATAAAAGTGGCAGAGGGCCACTTTGTCTCAAATACTATGTGGTCATTTTGTCTCTACAAGCATTATTTTAGGAAAGTGTGAGGTACAGATGGCTTGCTGGCTGTAGAACTCTTTATTTTTACTTTGTTATAAATTGATTGAGCTTCTTCAGCTACAATTGAGTGACAGGGTCGGACTTCAAAACAGTTGTGTTGGATTTTTTGTGTTTTAACGTTGAGCAGCACAAAGTTATATATGTGAGATAGTAAGCTATATAAATTGAATGGATAGACAGACAGGCAGACAGACTAACTAACTGACAGTAGTTTTCTCAATGCTAAAATAGATCTGTTGGTCCCGCAGAAGTCAAATCTCTTCAAATCTCAAATTTCTGTAGTACTGGCATTGTATTTTGATAAGTTGTGCTGCAATAGTATTTAGCAAATTCTATCCTAAAATAGATTGTAAATATATTTTAGGATAGAATTTACTAAGTGCTATTGCAGCACAACTTATCAAAATACAATGCCAGTACTACAGAAATTTGAGATTTGAAGAGATTTGACTTCTGCGGGACCAACAGACTTCATTCTGAAAAAAGTTGTTGAACTTGATGTAATTTTGTTTCATGTAAATGTTTGTATCTTTGGAGTCTTCCAGTTCATAACAGATCCTCTATGCTTTTGTCATAAGGGGAAACTAAAGCAGATGAGAGCACAAACAAAGAAACATCAGAAGAGAAGCAGGAAGAAGATAATGATTATCACAGAAGTGATGAACAGGTATTGTTGAAATATAATTCTTTGAACTCAGCAGAACTAGCAGCTGTTCCTGTTTTTGGTGATTTAAGACAGCATTTCTCAGTGAGGGAATTTCCAGATGTGTAGTGTTAACTCCTAGAATTCTCAATATGCTGTCTGGATAATTCTGAGAGCTGAACTCCACACCTTTGGCAGGATAAGTGAGGTGGGGGGAGAAGAGCAGGAGGAACCTGACAACTACCCCCTGGGTGCTCGCACACACACCAGGGGAATAACAATGACTGGGGGCAGGGGAGCAACCTTGGAAGCTACGGATGCATTGACAAGCACGGGCCATTTAAGAACAGCACGGCCGGTACTAATGAGTGGACCAATGACCTGTTCAAGGGTTAGAGCGCAGAGGCGGTCAGTTATATAAACTAACTCCCGGATCCGGCGTTTTTTACACTCTGACGATGTCAGTAGTTTGGCTGACGAAAGCTTAGTACTTTTTGTAGATTAAACAGCTTAGTACACTATTCTCTATTGTGTCCTGAAGCTTTTCCAGATTGGAGGACTTTCCCACCATAGAAAACCAATTCTTCATAGCAACCAATGCTAGATAGGCTTCCTTCTGAATTTAAGCGGATCAACCACTGACCTGTGGTTTCTGCTTGTTAAGTAATATGAGCATTGCATGGTTTAGAGTCCTCATTTCTCTGCTTCTGCTGCTATGAAATGAGAACTTAAAGTGTAACCAGTATTGGATCTTTCTTTAAAGGTAAGCATCTGCTTGGAATGCAACAGTAGCAAATTGCGTGGATTGAAGAGGAAGTGGATTCGTTGCTCAGCACAAGCTACAGTCTTGCATCTAAAGAAGTTCATTGCCAAAAAACTTAATCTTTCTTCATTTAATGAGGTAATCAATGCTGATAGAGTAAAACAAAAAAAAGAACGAAAAAAGTGTGGCTGATTTTTTTAAAAGAAATAATTGTGTAACTTTTTTTTTCTTAAAAAGTCATATTAAATCCTTAAGAGTTGGTTGCTTTTTCCTGAAACAGAATTGTTGTTTTAGTCACTTAATTGATGTATAGTAAATGAAGCAGTGCCTTAAAAGATATTAAGCTTTTAAAATACGATTCTGAAGCTTCCCGGTATTCCTTAGTTTGCACTTGAAGCATTAATGTAAATATATCTAGTGAGAAAATTTTGTGGGGAGACCTTTAGCGGAGAAGTGTTTAAAATTGACAGTGTACTCTGTTTCTGCAGAACAAGCAAGTGCCTTCAGCCCTTGATATGAATTCTGAAGGTCACATAATTTCCTTAAAAATAAAAAAAAGTTGCCAGTTTAAACTTTAGGATTTCAAATTACATATGTATTGTGGATGGATTATGAAAGAAATGATGTAAAATTTCAGTGCAAATAATTGAAGAATAATCTGTTACAACTAATGTCTGCTAAAATGCCATGCATTTATTTAAATAATATCTTGGAAAGCCAGCTGCCTAATAAAAGAACTAATAAAAGAGAATATTTGTAGCTCAGGGTTAATATGTGTGGTCTCTAAGACCATACCCAGCAACGCTGACAGGCAAACCACTAGAATATAAACTGATAGCAAACTGTCCTCTTTAGTAGCACTGATGATATTACCTAGTTTGGTAATGAAATGTCTGCTAGAAAACAAGCACACTCAAGAGTACCAAGGATCCCTCATGTCTAGGTTATTTCCTATATTTATTGCAAGGAAATTGAGTTTCACCCATTTTTCATTAGCATATAAGCACATTGGCTTTACATTTGGGGAAATGTCTTGTCTGATTCTTACTTGGCAATATACTAGGGCAGTGTTTCCCAAACTTGACAATTTTAAGGCATGAGGACTTCAACTCCCAGAATTCCACAGCCAGCAATTCCACAGTCCACATGCCTTACTCAAAAGCCCTGTGTACTAGGGCTTTTGAGTAAGATGCAGCCTGTTTGGTGTAGTGGTTTAAAGTGGTTAAAGAACCAGGCTAGAAATTGAGAGGCCATGAGTTCTAGTCCGTTGTTAGGCACAAAGCCAGCTGGGTGACCTTGGGCCAGTCACTCCTTTTAAGCCCTAAAAAGAAGGCAATGACAAGGTTTGCCAAGAAAATTCCAGGGACCTGTCCAGCCAGTTGCCAGGAGTCAACGCTGCCTTGAAAGCCCCAAAATGTTCTAAGACACGTTAATGAAGATCTGTTAATTAACATGCAGAGATTCTTCGTTTCTTTGGAAAATCAACTTGAAGTCAAGAAAATAGCTCTCAGTACAATGATTTTGAAAAAAATCGGATTCTATGAAAGGCAGAAAGATTTTGGCTGCTTCATAGCACAATTCAACCTGCATTTGATTTGCAAGAAACACACACACACACACACACACAGAGTTTAATATGACCTGTTGATAGATGTAAGGTTTCTTCCTCTTCCTGCTTTTTTCCATTGAAAATGTTCACTCAGGCATATCTCAAAGTTTTCTTTTTTTTTTCCCACTTAGACTATGGTGGAACATGCTCACTTTGATCTATATCAGTATATTTTGGTCTTGGCAATTTTGAGATGTGTGGACTTGAACTCCCGGAATTAACCAACTAGTAATGGCAAGTTGAAGTCTACACAACTTAGCATTGCCAAAGTTGAGAAAGACTCATCTAAATGCTTGCATGTCTTGAAACAATTCCAGTTCATTAGAAATTTCACCTTTGGTTTCTCTAGTCTATTTCTGATAATTTGTTAATGTGTGGTGAGCATGTTCACAAATACGAGAAGGATTTGGGGTTGTATCCTTACTTAGAGAAGCAGTTCTACTTTAATAATTTGGAACAAATGGGCAGTAAAAATGGTTCAAAAGGATTTCTAGAATTTAATATCTAAATTATTCTCTTACTGCTCATTAATCTGATTCAGGGACAGTGTTTATTTCAGATAAAATAACTGCCTATTCATCCTGGACCACAGGGGTTTTTTTTTGTTTTTTTTTTTACTTTGTGAATTTAACAGACTTGAGAGAGTCAAGGCTGGTTTGGTAGCTCTTTGGAAGTGGGAATGAAGTTCTAGTCCCTGTTGGAAGAATCCTGAAAGAAAAGATTTTCCAATTATTGGGCAATATATGCTTTTTTTGGTGGTATCTGTCAAATGTTGATCAGAACCTTTGGAGTGTGAGGATTTTAAGTGTAAAATGTAGTATCAGCAACTGATGGAACAGAAGGAGAAAATAAATGTAAAACCATTTATGTGTCAAGTAGGACATCTGCTATGTTTTGAGAGCATACATAGGTTATAGCTGAAATAGTTATGTGAGGTTTTTGATTTTCATGAGATCAGACTCTGGCTTAAAAATTAAAAGCAGGCAAGAAATTTCACATCTGAAGGGACACTTATTTCTACCATTTTCTCTTTGTTATTGCTTGTAACTTGCCTATTTGGAAATAATCATTCCCTGGATAGCTAATTAAATTAGCCTCCATGTATCCTATATAGAATCCTATCAGGAACTCATTTTTCTTAACTACCAGTTTTAGAATTCATTTTCTCAGGCCTTCGTGTCCAGGTTTTTCAAACAATGATACTCAGAACTTGCACATGCTCACTTTGTTAATTTTCTCAGTCTGGATTTAGTTAATTTCTATAAGGCCAGAATATCTGGTCTTTTTTAGATTATGGAGCAGATGGTGATCCAGCAGAGTGAAGAGTGAAGTTTATGCCCTGAAATAACTCTGCATCTCCTGTAAGCTGAAATTTTATCTCCCACCCACCAGGCAAATTAAATGATAGAATATACATATTATTCAGCTTGCAGCTTGTTGGTTAGCTGAGTTTACAGTATTGGAAAAATCCAGAAACCTGAAGAGATTCTGGGAGGCCATATTTGAATTGTAGTATCCTACCATTTCATGCCATTAAAAACAAAAACCAAAAAAAACACCTCGTTTTAATTGCATCATTATTTGGATCCCCTAAATCGATCTCTTTAGTAAAAATATAAATCTTTTGTTTCTTTTATCAGCTGGATATATTATGCAATGAAGAAATTCTGGGCAAGGACCATACTCTCAAATTTGTAGTTGTTACAAGATGGAGATTTAAGGTATGGAGCACCGATAATTGAGTGATGCACTTAATATTTTCCATTTGAAACTCTAAACTTTTACTTTATCATTCATAAAGATATAACTGATGTCCTGATTCCTTGTGGCCCTTCTCTTTTCATGATCGCAGGTCAGAAATTATCTTACTGTTTTATTGTAGCTTGGGCAGGAAAATAAAGGGAGATGCTAGGCTTTGGGACATCTTTGTTTTGGGCCAGGATAGAGATAGTGTCTGCCAAAATCTTCAGACCAGAAATGTCCAGTTTCCCCACCAAGGGTTAGCCCCGCAGAACCTGCTGAGATATTGAGCCTGAGGGTTACTCTGTCTTCTGGGCCATCAGTTGTGGGCATTTAGTGTCCTAAATGAAGGTTAAGCTTAAAAACATGTTGGTTTGTTTATTAATGGTCTGCATCGGAGAGTTCCTCAAGCAATTATATTTATTTTTCAGAAAGCACCTCTACTGCTACATTACAGACCGAAAATGGACTTGCTGTAAGAACTGTTTTGTCCTTGTGGACGGTTTTTTGCAGAGACTATCATCAGGCACCTTCTTAGTGCATCATTACTCAATTCACTCGTGACATAGACCAGCAAAATCCATCCCTGAAAACAGTAGTACTTTCTCACTCCGCCATTCTGAATATTTCTCTAAGAGATGCATTAAACTCAACTTTCAGGACAGTAAAAAAAAAATATTTATACTATTTTCTACAAAAAAAAAAAAAAAAGGAAAGTGCAGTTTGAACGGACACTACCAGCATGATGTTTACAGACATTGAAAGCACTTCACAGTTCCCTCTGTGTAGCTCAGTTCTTGGTCATCATCTTGAAAGATGCAAAATAGGTTAAAATGTAGGGAAGGAGATAATTTTCAATTTGTTGTCACCAAGCAGCTCTTGGATTCTTTTGCAACTTAGCTTAAACATAGCCCTTCCTTCCTTCCTTCCTTCCTTCCTTCCTTCCTTCCTTCCTTCCTTCCTTCCTTCCTTCCTTCCTTCCTTCCTTCCTTCCTTCCTTCCTTCCCTCCCTCCCTCCCTCCCTCCCTCCCTCCCTCCCCTCACCAGGTATTCTGTCTCTTAAACCTCATGGGCATCTTATTGATCAGTAAGCCCTTCATAGTATTTAACATTGAAAAAAAAAAGATGCAATGCTTGGCAGTGACTTGCTATCATGATACAGTTCTGGATTCTGCTCCTTTGTTCCTCTGCTGATTCATTTGAGGGAGGTATTGGAATGAGTGATTTCCATTTTATTTCAGTTTTATCAGATCACACAAAAGGTTGAGCATTTCGGGGGAGGAAAAGATCCTTTTTCTGTAATGTGTGTGACTTACGTAGCTGGGGCGGAAACGGGGGGGGGGGATTTCCTGTTCTGAAAATGAAATAAGCCTTTAGCAGCCTTAACTACTTGAACTCCAGTATTGTTCTTTTGAACAACACACAATACCAATGCTGGAGCATGCATTCTATGACAAGCATGAGTTCACTCACCTTTCCTGCTGGATTCTAGCTTCTGTAAGAAGACCATTGTGTTTGCCTAATTCTTTACTTGAACTATCTTTATGTGTTCGGATTTAGTTGGCACTATGGTACGTTTGGGCCTTAACCTATAAATCTATTTATTTTTAAATCCAGCCCCCAAGGGATTGATTTCTCCCTCTAGACTATGTAAGTGCACTTTCTCTAAGTAGAGGTGGGAACGATGTGTGAAGATCAATGTTGCTTTCCCTTTAATATCTTAAGGTTGCTTTTTGTTTTTTTGTTTTTAAAAAAGGTTGCATTCAGTGGTGGTGTTGCAAGTATGGACCATGCAAAATATATGTTGTTCTTCATCTGGACAGGATATGTAAGACTCTTTCATCTGGGAGAACCACGTCGTTGATTTTAAATACTCCAGTGTGTTCAAAAATGCATGCGCATACTCCTTGTTGCATGTATATAGGCATGTTTTCTGTGTCTCTCTTCCATATGCACATACATATGAAGAGGCACAAGTATTCTTTGCATGAACACAAGTCTGCTTTTCCTCCGTTGGACACCAGTTTGGATGGGATATGACCAGAACAGGGTAGAAGTTGCTGCTGAGAAGGATTGCTGAGAGGGTATTTTTTTTTTTAAATTTCTCAAGCCTTTTCTCTTTGATGGAGAAGGTTGCCTTTACGCTGTCTTACTAGCTCTGTTCCTGCTGATTGAACAGGTCCTTGGACAGAAGCAGAGGATAGCCCAACGAGAGTGGGTTATAATGGCTGAGTTTCAGAGAGAGATCACTAGGAAGACGGAAACTTTCTCTATTCTTTGTGAAAGTCACTTCCATTTGGAGGTTTGTGTTCTGATGGTGATTATTCAGGATTGGTAGCAATTTGCTAGTGTTTGTTTCTTGTTCTTTGGAATATCCTTGCTCTGCAGGTGTGCCTCACAGGGAATCTTTCCTATAGGGAGCAAGCCTCAGCAGAGTATAAAAAAGATACATGACAGGGGTGTGAGTGAGTGGACAAACCTGAATAAGTACAGGGATGGGGCAGGAAACAATTGCAAATGAGTAAATGCAAATGTGAGGTAAGAAGGGTTCTTTTCATACCGTTCAGTGATTTTTAGACATCAATAATACATATTCAGTTAAGCTATTAGATCTCATTTTTCTAGAATGAATTGTCCTCACACCGTGGAAACCCCTTATAATTTCTGTTAGAAGGAGAAAAAAAACGCATTCCTTTCATAATGCTGATTATTTCCTGTATATCAGCTGAAGTTAAAAGGGTCACGTTTTTGTAAAATACCAACTAGCTTCTCCTGTGGGCGGCACATGGGTATGTTAGGAGCCCATCTCTCCCTGAGCTATTTTCCTTCTCTAATTTCATAATGATAAATTAGAGGGAAATCAAAAGAAAGGAACAAAGGAGTAGCAGGAGAAGTTGGAGAAAAATACGAGGGGTCAGCTTGCACATTAGCAGTGGATGTGGGAATGGAGGGCAAAGGGAAAACTTTGGGCAACCTTTTGATAGAGAGCGTTCTGCGCATGTCTTGTGGTGGTGAGCTAGAGTTGTGAAAAAAGAAAGAAAGTACCGTATTTTCCAGCGTATAAGACGACTGGGCGTATAAGACGACCCCCGACTTTTGAGAAGATTTTCATGGTTTAGAAAGTCGTCTTATACGCCGGAAAATACGGTACATCACACACCTTAAAAGCAATTTTCCACTCTCTGTATGAGATGAATATGAGTGTACTGGCACCTCTTGTAACATTTGCACTCATTTAAGTGGGGCGTGTTGCAGGAAATTTTTCTACTAGTAAGTGCGCTTAAAAGGTAATAGTTCTTAATTATATAGAATTTGTACAATAAGTAAGTGCTTACTAATGATAGATGATTGCTCGCCATTATTCTGGAAAATATCAGATGAGATACAAATAAAATGGTTAGGGAATGGAAGAAGACACCTTTATTGAATTGGGGAGGGGGCTGTATGAAAATGTGCCAGGCTGCCGTAAATAGGACAGCCTTTAAAATTTCCCCATCTTCTCCTTTTGCAGGTCACCAGGTGCTATCTGAACACATCCTGGCTAACAGTGCTTAGTGAGCCTTAAATTTAGCCAGCCTGTTGAACACCCATTTGATTCAGGCTTTCCCAAACTTCTGCTCTCTAGACAAAGCCAGCGGGCTTGATCAGGGTTTTATTTCAACACATTTATTTCAAGAACACCAGGTTAGGGAGAAGTGCGTTAAACCTTTAGACGCAGGGGTTCTCAACCTTGGCAACTTTAAGACTTGTGGACTTCAATTCCCAGAATTCTGGGAGTTGAAGTCCACAAGTCTTAAAGTTGCCAAGGTTGAGAACCCCTGCTTTAGAGGGTATAATGACCTTGTGCAACTATTAACTCTACCTCAGAATAGATACACAGCTGAATTGTTCCACCAATGCCATCTTAAAATGCAGAATACAACACCCTCCTCCCCCGTTGCATAATTTAAACTGAGGGATTAAGTAGTATTAAGGTGCAAACTGTAACTCCACAACTCTTGGCTGCAGCGGTTTACGGAACCCGCGCTGCTACATTTCTTAGCAAGTTTTTAAATCACTTGAATTTGATATGGTGCTATATTACTACATTATATAATCAGGTGCATGAAACAAAAAGCCAGCTGTTGACACCTAAGCTGGTTTTATCACTCATAGATGATTATTTTCTAACAGCCTGACGACGGTGGCAGAAAATACTTTTTTTTAAAAAAAGAATTTTTGTTTTCCTTCTAAACGGTTTCTCAGAATATTTCTTCTCCTATGGAAACGGCATCCTTTGGGGATTATTAGTTTCAAAGGCCTGTCTTGTTTTATCAGAAAAACGATGGTTAATACCAGTAGAACAGATTCTTGTTATATCAGCTGTCTCTCTTCTGTGAAGCTTTTAAGGGGCAGGTTGCACAATGATTTGGGTGGGAAAACATTATGTTGATTTTTCTGGCTTTAGGTCTTCACTTCTACCATAAGTGACTTGGAGTTACTCCAGCCACATTAAGTTTGTCTAGATTGATTAAGTGATAAATAATTAACTGTGAAGTAATTTCTGTTCTTTGTTTTAATTAACTGCTTACCACTGGTAAACGAAAGCAGTCAAATGGTCTTGTTGCATTATCTTTAGCAACAAAAAGACAGGACGAGGCAGGCTGATGGTCTCGCTTGGTATAATTTTCTTTTTAAAATAGAGAAATCAGAATATATAATATTGAATTTTAAATAAGATGGGGGGGGTTGAGAAGTTAACTTTATAAAATTATTTATTCTATTTTAAGCTTTTTCTCTCTTACTTTTTACCATCTTAAGTATTTTTTTTATTATTATTTTTACTTTTTTTTGGTTTCGATGGTCCAGCTTTATTTATGGGCATATAAAATGAAATTGTGAGATGTTTTTTACAAGCTTCTTCCTTCCTTTTGTGAGGGGCCAAATCAGATTTTGCACTAAATGAGGGTCTTCTACCAAAAACTGATACCTGTCTGCCTGTTTTCCACCTGTTCTAAGGTCTGATGTAAAGAGCGTGGGTTATCTTTACAATTCTGTATTTCTTTCCCATCACTGCAAGGGAGGAAAGCTCAGAGAACTTTGTAACTTAAATCCTGGGTAAGTTTAATGAGATGTTGTAAAGCAGCAAACAAACATAGAACAGTGATTGGCTACCATATTTGCCACATTTAGTGTAATTTTAGTTTGGCCCCATTTATTCTTTTTTTTTAAAAAAAATGGTATGTTTTTGTATGGATAAGGAGAGCATTACTTTATGCTTTTTGTGCAATAGGTTGGAAACATGCTTCTGTTAGGCATACTTTTAAAATGGTAAATGTAGCATTGACTAACTGCAGTTTGGAGAAAAATGATGTAGGTAGTTTTAAGTTTACATTCAAATGGGATCTCCTTCCTTCTCCCTTTTCTTGGGATTTTTAAATGACAAATGGGGAGTTGTTCCTGTGTGCAAGAACTACCTGTCAGCAATATTTTAACAGTGATCTGGCAAGACCTCTTCAATGTGAACCGTGGAAACTTGCAGCCTATCAGAAATGTTTCTTGTGTGCCATTGGTATGTCTGGTATTTCTCATAATGATACCATTGAACTTGGAAATATTTATTTCTTTGCGGTTGTGCAATTCTCTAGACACAATCTCTTATGTTCTGGGAGTAATACAATAATTTTAAATATCAGATTACAAACTGTGATGGTGCTATTTTTTTTTCTTCAATTGGATTTGAGCTTTTGGAA